GCTGGGCGTGGTGGCATGTGCCTGTAGTCCCAGCTACTCTGGAGGCTGAGGCAGGAGAATTGCTTGAACCCAGGAGGCGGAGATTGCAGTGAGCTGAGATTGTGCCATTCCACTCCAGCCTGGTGACAGAGCAAGATTTTGTCTCAAAAAAAAAAAAAAATCTATGGTGGTCATGAGATCTCTTGCAGCTAGGATCCCAGAGGTCCATGGCGGGGGTGTGGTGCCTTGCAGTTCCTTCACTCACCTCTTTGTTAGGACCTCATCAGGGCTAGGAATGGGTCTTGGCACTTGGTGACTCTGTGCAGGCTTCCCAGCTTGTGCCCTATTCAGCCTCAGTGGCTGTGTTTCCCTCTATCAACTCTCAGTGTTTCCCCTCAAAAGATCTATCTAAAGTGTGATGGGTTTTTCAATATTTTGGCTTCTCTTGGTGGGAGAAGGGCTCCCTGGCTTCATCTAGTTGGCTGTCTTCCATACTTTTTTTAATGTTGAGGTTTAGCTATGGTAATTCAGGCCATTCTAAATAAATTCAAATTCTAGTAAACGTGGTAAGTATGATTGATAGTTCCAGTAGATTATAAGCAAACTTTACAACTATACTATAATTTATGGTTGATGGTGGTTTTGTATGTGGAGGAATTGTTTTTGTTTTGTTTTTGAGACAGAATCTCACTCTGTTGCCCAGGCTGGAGTTCAGTGGCACAATCATAGTTTACTGTAGACTTGAACTCCTGAGCTCAAGCAATCCTCCCACCTAAGCCTCCCATAGTGCTGGTATCACAGGCATGAGCCACTGTGTGTGACCATGGAAGATGGTTTTAATTTGTGCGGTGATAACTTATTTGGTATATTTCTGGTATCTAGCTACAGCACCCAGTTTTTAGAAAGCACTTAACAAATGAATGCTGCAATGAATCACCTTAATAGAAGTTATTCATATATCTTCATTAAATCAAATATGTTTATTTGCATATTTTCAAGGAACAATAGAATATATTCACATATATTCTACCTCTGCAGACCTTTGTGTTTTTATGTATTATTGCTATTTGGTTTGCATCAAACTGGCAATTGAATGGGATGTATTAAAACATGGAGACTTTGACTTTTTGGGAAGGAACATCATGATTCATGAGCAAACAAGTTTTATGAGCATAAGAAGAGGTTATGAACAAAGAGGGAAATCACCAGGAAAAGGAATGACGCATTTTGAATTTATGGGTGTAATGTACTACTGCCTGTTTTATATCATTTTTAACATAATGAATCTTGGTGAATTCGATTGCATTGTGTAGCCAGATGATAGATAACACATACATATCTGGTAGCCTTTGACATTTTGGGCTGCAAAGTTTTGGAACAAGATTTCAGGAACTTAAATAGTCTTCTGAAAAATATGATTTTATTATTTGGCATATTCCTTTGCAAATAGTTTTACTTGGGTTCAATGTTAGATAAGTTTAGAATTACACTTAAAATAATTAAATTGCTTAATACTAAATGAGCCTCTTGAATTGGGCCCTTTAAGAAAAGCATTATTTCTCGAACTCCTGACCTCAGGTGATCTACCCATCTCGGCCTCCCAAAATGCTGGGATTAAAGGCATGAGCCACTGCCCCCAGACTTGAAAAAACATTCTTTCTGATGTTCATTCCGTGCTACTTACCCTGAGAAATTTCATAGGTTATATGAATAGGAGTATCCAGTTTCTCCTTTTCTTGTCTGTGTCTTGCATTGCTGGCTATTTAAAA